TACTTTGGGTCCTTATCAAGTTATAAATTATTTAGCAATGATTGAATTGCGTGTCAGATTCTGAATCTTATTATCATCGTTAAAACAATGTGGTCCGGAGGTATAACAGAGCGAACATTAGAGACATGACCGTGACGGGTCACTCTGTTATACCTCCGGACCACATTGTTTTAACGATGATAATATAAGATTCAGAATCTAACGCGCAATTCAATCATTGCTAAATAATTTATAACTTGATAAGGACCCAAAGTAGAGGTCGAAACGTCGTTTTGAATAAATTTATTGCCAGTTAGGCCGACGAATTTTCGTGTTTTAATCTCTAAAAATTCTTGAAAAAAGTATTGAAGCACGAAACACATCGCGTGGTGACAGAAGCGCCCTTTTATTTGCTTCTCATCATGCTCCCACGCTTTAACGAAAATGTCATCTCTGCTTCTTAACGAGTGCTAAAATGCCCAATGAGCTCCCCTTCACTAAAAAGCCTACTTTGCTGTGCCTATTACATATATTCTGTCTTTATGTGAGTTTGCTAGATGCGATTTCTTTGTAATTGATCTCGTTGAAATTCATCTGCATTTGTAACGCAAAATTTATGCAATGGCATTTCGCATAGCGGAATAATGGCCGGATTTCATTCAAATAAAATATAAATTGAAAAGGAACGAAATATCGCAGTGAGATAATTGTAAAATAATTTATTAACATTATTAAAATCAAATTATGCATATTAAAATAATTGGTCCGTAATGCAAATAAAATACTCACATCATACTGTACACATATATTTTATCAAACAAATGTTTTCCTATCCTCTCTTCCTATAATATTTGAAATTTTTGCCAGTGAAAAATATTAACTCTAATCGAACAAATTCAAGCATAATCGTTCCTGGTAGAAAAAAAAATTTATATTTATACTCACTTTAGTTAAATTTAAAATTGGTAAAAGTAACAATGCTGTAATTTCATCACTTCATTTTAAGGACTTTCTAATTCTAGTAACGCGCAATGAAACCCGACAGATGTTCTATGAAATAAATGCAACCGACAGAAAATAATTCATAAATATTTTAAATTGTTTACACGCTTTTTGGTACGGTTTTCGGTATTTCCAAAGGATCCGCAATAAGACTCGTAAATGGGATAAATGAAAAGCGAGCGAGGTAGAAACCTGGCTCGTTATGATCGTTTAAAGCGTTAGCATTTCTCTCACACGAAGCTCATTAATGATTGAGAAGGTGGGAAAGTGAAGTAATTCATTTTCGCCGCCGCGCGCGTGGTTTCATAATCCACAGGGTATAAGTCAGTCGGCTCTTTGGTACAGCGAAGATATAGTCACTTGAATCCCGCAAGGGTATTTGCAATTAGCAAGAACAATACCGCAGAGAAACGCTGCTTTTATTATTTATTATATCCTGCATTATATCGTTCAAATATCGTAAAGTTTCTCGTCCAAATAACTTTTAACGTTACATAGTCCGCGAAAAATCTTACAAAATTTCGAAAACACGAAGCCAGATTAACACGTCATAAATTTTTGCGTGTGATGTGTGACAGTACAATATACATATATATACCAAATAAAATAATACAATAAAATAATGAATTGCAGTTATCATAAATTTTCCAATAACTTTTTTATAAAAACAATTAGTTTGTCATGTGTGTGTTCGCATATAATATAAATAATTTCATAAAAGGGCTAGCGAACAAAGCTCGTTTTTAGTGCTTATAATTATATATTACAAGCGACGAATATACATATATAATCCAATTTAAAATAGCGAGCCGATAAATGTCGGACTGAAACACATCAGCTATCGTTACCGCGACGATGGGGTCGGTGATAACCTCGGCAGGTCATATTTCGAAGCGCGAATTAATTGAACGTAGAAAACGTTGGATAACGGGCGTATGACGTCGTGCGACAGTCGAAGGATAATTGTGAGGCGCCGCATCCGAAACGGACGTAGAGTTCGGAGGCGACGCAGCCGGAAAACTTCATCGCATGTATAAAATATTGCTAGCGCATAAAAATATAATGTATTAATCACAAGGCGAACGGGTCACACTTTATAGAGCGGAAATTTCCACGTAAAAAAACGCGGAATGCGAGCCTATTCAAGCGGAGACAAGAAAAACTTGTTTTTCACGTCTCGACGTGCGATTACGTACGCGTAATTATAAATACACGACAATTATGCGTGATGGCACGGAGTGGGGCAACACAAGGATCCACGGTAAAGGCCTTCACACATAAAATTCCGTAAGGACATAAAACGTAAGCGTAAGAAGATCACACAATACTTGATTGGGATTGGTCGATTTTCTTACGCTTAGGTTTGACGTCCTTACGCGATTTTATGTGTGAAGGCCTTAACCAACGAACGAAAAGTTACCCGCCGGGCAGCATACGGTGCAAACGTGCGTATGTCTTGTCCGCGATAACAACGGGTACCCCGCGAACAGCGCGATAGCCGAGACTGGTGATAGCGGCGAATATATTCGTTAGCGCGACATTATAATCGTCCGAGCAGTTAACGCAATTTACACGCGAACACGATTCAGAAAGGCTTCGTAAATTTTGCACGATCAACGACCATACTCAGTCAACCCGAGTGCGGGAATTTGTACTTGAGATTTACAATAATATTTTATATATTTATATCTTAATTATCGTATACGGTGAGTGCGAGATCATTCTACATAATCCGTGTCACGTCCCCATCCACGACTTACCCACCTGTCGGCGTTCCAGATTCCAGATTCGAATCCTGGCTGAGGTAATATTTTTCGCAATAATTTCTTTACAGTTTTTAGATAATTAAATCGCGTCGATTTAATTCCGGGGAGGAAAGGGTTTTTAATGTTCCAACGATAGCTGTGTTTTAGTCCAACATTTATCGGCACGCAGTTTTAAATTGGTATATATATGTATATTCGTCGCTTGTAATATATAATTATTGCACATGCGATCTTTGTTTAGAGTGCGTACTTAATTTACGTAATACAGACGTTCAAATAAGGCTTTACCTTGAATCCTGTACGAAAAATTTGACACTGATAAATTACGAGATACTAACTATTGATAATAGCGAACCACGTTTGTTTAATAGTTCAGTGGCATGTGATGCATCAAAACCGATAAAAACAGTTCAGTTTTCTACGTAGCTTGTAGAACTAGCAAATTGTACAATTGACGTACAAACACACGCGCGCAGAAAGACTGACAACGAACCGTAATCGAACCGCAGCGTATAGCTGCGCGAATGAAAAAATAATCGGAAACTCTGACAGTGACGTGTTCACCTGTTCGAATTTTAGATCGACCTCGGGAAAGAAAAAAATTTCGATGCTGCGTTACAATCAGTCCTGATCGAGCAGTGATTATTTGCATCCTAGCTTAAATTTATTAGCTCATATTTGCAGCCTGAAGAAAGACGCGCGTCGATATTAATTATTTCGTAAATCTGTACACACACACACACACACACACACACACACACACACACAGTAAATGTCTACACGGAGAACTTCATGAAAGTCTTTTAGCTTTGAAATATTTTTTATCGAAAATTCGCGATCATTGTTTGTCTTTATTTTAGGAATTCATAAAAAGTTAGATCGAGTTGAAAGTAATAATATCATATACACAAGAATATCCTCCTTGAAGTTTCTTTTATTTCTTCTTTTGCTCTTTAAATCTCCTATGCGGCAGAAATTAGAAATTTAAGTAGCACTCGAGAATTTTCGACAACGATACCGGAAGCGTGTGATATCGATCTGAGCATAAACGATAAGATGTCGGGAACGAGCCAAATTGCGAGTTAATAAAATTGGAAAACAAAAAAAGTTGCACGACTCACGGGACATAAAAGTCGTGCTTCCTTGACTAGCTTTCGCCGAAAGATTCGAAAACTTTCCACATCGGAACAACAACTTCACGGACCGCTTTAAAATGTAATTTGCACGACCAATTTAAGTCAAGTCACCGCGTGCACCGGCTCCGGCTCTTCTTCTAAGCGTAACTCTTCGAAATAATTAGCAACGTCTTGCGTCCGAGGTAAATCGTGCCCGGCGCGACTATTCGGAAAGAGAGCGAGCGATTTACGTTGGTCGTCTCGTTAAAATTCGCTCTCACCTTTCCGCTGCCTTCCTCGGTAACTTTTGTCGAGCGTGTAATTAAATTTCCGGATCCGCTCCGTTGGGGTCGGCCATCGGTTCTGTTTGCGGCCTTTATAATAGAGTTCCATGCGCGGAATAGAGAGAAAGAGAGAAATTATATGCCCGGGCCTCCCGCGCAACAACGAATAAATAACGACGCAGCGTAAACCTAAACACGCGGATAGGGACCAACAAACGCTATAATTGTTAATGCCGCAAATGGTGGTCGTTTGTCGAGACGGCCGATGGCTATTTAAACGGCAAACAATCTGTTTATACGTTGCATTTTATCGCATACATATACGTTTTCGCGCGGCACGGTCGTTCCTGGTAATTGTCCAGGCGCAAACTCGCACACGTTCGCAGCTTTCATACAATTCGATTTTGTTCACGCTGTTGCCGTCGCACCACATCCCTCGCGGATTAGAACATCGGGGCGTGTATGCTTTCAATTCCATTAAACAGAGAGTATTGTATTTTAAGAATTATTGGCAAAAATGGTTATGTGTTTGAAAAGAATAATTGATTGTATTATCTTGATAATCTGTAATTATTTAAAAGAATTTAAACTAATTAAAAAACTTAAGTTTTTATCTGTGCAAAAAAGGAGAAATAAAATACATCCTTTCTTAATGATCCCTTCTTTACTGCAACGACAATGACCTGATTGATCCTCAAATTAAATCTGTATTTATAGAATTTATTCATTTTTGAAAATGCAATCTCTCTATCTAATTTTTACCATAGTATAAGAATACTTTCCTTACTCCTCACACACTCAAAGTCAAATTAAGAGATAGTAAATGTCACGAGATGAGATGAATAAGCAATTATCAGTAATAAATATTTAATTACGAAATAACGAAATAAAAGTAGCATAAACGACATTACTTTTTAACGAAAAAGTGTCGCTGGAATATTTCCTTAAGAAATACTTCGAGAAATGTACTTGGAGAATAGCGCAGCGACTATACGGAGTATTCGTCGACCTTCGAAAAATCTCCGTAACTCGGATAAAGCTCGCCCGCCGCTTGCAAATCGACCGTCGCGCATTTGACTATTCGAAGGCAGATATTAAATGAGTAGCGTATCAAGCGAATTGAAAACGTGCCCGGAAAAGGCCGCGCGGAGAAGAAATCGGGGGCTCGCGAGCTTATTTCGCATTCGACGTTCCGGGTCGCGAATATTTCAGCGCGCTTAATGTTTGCGCGCACGAACGCGCGCGCACGTGAACCGGAAATATTTCACACTGCGCTGGGAATTGCGCCGAGTAAGAATCGCGGTTCTAACGAACGTTTGACGAGAGCTCCAGGGGATGAATTGCGGAGCTGTTTATGCTCCGAAATTAAAATAGTCGCGAGAGACGAAGCGTTTCCGTATACTTCTTCGCGCGAACGTTCCGCGTACGTGCAAGGTGTGCATGAAATGCATTTACATATCCGCGAATTGCAGGAATATGCGTAATTGGATTTTCTGATTGAATCCACATATGGTTGGTTTGCATTAAGATATCCAGATACTATGATGTTTGATAAGTTAAAAACACTGTTCTCAGCTCCAAAATCAGCTATTACACAAAAATACCAGTTTTTTTATAAAAAAATTTCATAAAGGGGCTAGCGAACCAAGCTTGTTCTTAGTGCTTATAATTTAAACTTGTTCCAGTTACAGAAAATAGAAAATAGTTTAAAAAAAAAACTGTTTCAGAATTTACCAAATATCTCGACAAATTTAAAATAAATAAAATTACATAAAATACTATTTGGCATTACATTAAAAATTTTATAAGTAAGCATTTGATAAAAATAACAAGACATTAACAAATAAGATTTTTATTTAATTTTTTATCAAGAAGACAATTCAAAAATAACCTACTAAGAATTTTTTCTCCCGTTTTTTAATTTTTCATCTCGAGAGTAACGTATAGGCCTACGCTTAAGCAAACAAGCATTTCTTTGCTCGTCGCTGTCTCTCGCAACAAAATCAGAAGGCGGCGGTTCGTCGAGCTGGAAGTAGGAGATGTCAGGAAAGGCGCGAATCCCCGGCAAGTAAGGAAGGAGATGTTTCTCTTTCAAACGCAAATCCTTGTAATTTACGGCAGGTCTTTAATGTCACAATGCTTCTTCGCTACATGAAAATTTGTGTCGGCAAGAAGGAAATGTCGTACGTCGAACAGAGGTCGAGGATGGGATGGCAGTAATGTGTGGTGGAAAATTGCAAGACAGTGAGAGAGATGTCCCTTTTACATAGGAAAGGGATGCACGCGATGGTGCTAAGAGGTAAGATCGAGACATCGGCGGTAAGGGGGTAAGGACGACGAGAAATGGAAATGCCAGATTGGTAGATGCTGATGAGAGAGGCGCCCGCCGCGTCGTTGCGCCGAAGGAGCCTGAAAGCGCGACGGGAATGAGCTTAACGGCGATGCAGCGCTCGTCCCCGCGTGTATTTTCAAAAACATCTTACTTTAGAGCGAGCAGAATAGAGAGAGATGGAGAACAACACGCGCCGCGCGACGCCATCAGGGAATTAATAATAAGCTGCTGCTGGATCATTCCGTCCTCGCCGTCGTGGGAGTTGCCTTGTTACGTCGTCGCTCGCTCAAATTTGTTCTTATAGATGCTGCAGAGCGTAGCTGTTCTGCGCGTCGAACTAATTCCGCGGAAGCGGCTTGACGAAAGCGATTTAATACGCTCAAACACGAAGCAATATAACAGATAGATACACGTAATAAAGAACGTTATGAGAAAATATAGGAATTAAACATTTCTCTGTTATGATTTCCACGCTGATTTCAAATCTATTGTATAATAGATTTGAAATCCCGCTCATCCCGCGTAATAGCAAACCTTGGTAAAATTGAAGCTACTGAGTATGATTTCGGTTTTATTTAACAAACGTGTAATTTTTATTATAGCAACTTAGCGTCGCTCGGAGTGGCTCAATTGAGCCAGTGCCTACTAATTAATTATTAAATGACTGACATTTAATGCGTCGGGAGAATTAACAGAAAGCAAGCGAATCCGCTGTAATTTATGACATTATCTTCTGCACCGCAATAATATAAGCAGTTCCATTAGGCCAATAATGATTAATTAGCAGGGTAATTATTCCGTCAAGCTCGGCCAATAATGCGAAACACTCATGGGGAGGAAGGACGTGTGATCGTAAATTACACAGATCCATTAAATTAATAATATGAAACATCTGGCGCGCATTTTAGTTCGTGTAAAAGAGTGGATGATATTTTTATCCGCGTGATTAATCCGACCAATATAAGAATGGAAAATTCGTCGGAAATTTCTCGCCTGTTAAGTTTCAATAGTGACGTTAAATGCTATACAACGCTATGGCGTTCTCAAGTGTTGCTTAATTCCTCTACGTATCCTACGGGAAATCCTGCAGAACTGCCGATCCCCGTAGCTAGTCATTTATAAGTCGCTTGTGGCCGACGGCTCATTAAAAGAGATTTAGTAAGTCGTTAACTCGCCCGGCCGGGCCACAAATGAAATTTATACAGTTTATTTAAGGGACCGGGATTAAACTTTATTCACGACCAAGTCATGACAGCATTATTCAACGTCGGTTTGTTCAGAATTTTTGAATTACTGTTATTTCTGCT